CAACATGACCTAAGAGCCAACTTAAAGAAAAGGTCAATTGGTCCAACTAATAAATAATGAATGAGAACATTAAAACATCATTGGTTTACAATGAATAACCTTTGAATGAATTAATAAATATAGACAATAATCATCAGTGACTGCTAACATGGCCGAAATAAACAGTAATAACTAAAGATTATGTGCTTCCTTTTGGGAGTAGCCAGAAACACCTATGAAGGATTCTTCTCATGACAACAACAAAGAACAAAAATGTAATGCACTCCACTATTGTCATTTATGTAAGAAATTTAAAAAAAAAACACCTAAGTTTTATCCAGTTTTAAGATTTGACTACCAGTTTCTAGTACATGTAAGGAGGAACATACTAAGCATCACACAGACATAATTGGAAAACAAAATCTAGTCTGCAAAACACAACAGGACAAGCAAACTTCAATAAAGAATTATCAGGAAGAGAGAGAGGGAGAAATAAGAATTTATATAGATTTGAAAACTCACAAGAGATATTAACCATTTAAATGTGTAGACCTTATTTGGATCTTTATTCAAACAAACTGTAAAAAATATATACACTAGGGAAATTTAAACAGTAATTGCTTAGTTAATGATATTAAGAAATTATCTGCAATTTTAATTTTAATTGTGATGATAGAATTGCACTTGCATTTTTAAGACTTCTTACCATTTTATAAATTAAACTTTTCTGAGATAACTGAAGATTCATATTCAATTGAAAAAAAAATTATACAAAGAGATCCCTTATAACTTTTACCCAGTTTCCCTCAATAATAACAAATTGTATAACTATAGTATCTTACAACAATCAAGATACTGACACTGATTCCACGAATATACAGAATATTTCCATCACCATAGGTTCCACATTTTATCTTTTAAAGCTACACTCACATCCCCTCTCTAGCACCTGGCAACCCCTAATCTGTTCTCTAGTCTATGATTTTATCATTTTGAAAAYATAGAAAAGGAATGATACACTATGCAACCTTTTAGGATTACTTTTTTTGCACTCAGCATCATTTTCTGGAGATTCATCCAGGTTGTTAAGTGTATCAATAGATGGTTCCTTTCAAGTGCTTAGTAGCATTCCATGACAAAGGTGTGCTACAGTCTGTTTAAACATCCATTCACTGAAGGACACCTGGGTTGTTTCCATTTTGGGCTATTGTAAATTGAACTGTTATAAGCACTCATGTAAAGCCCTTATCTTACTTAAATATTTATGAATGAACTAAAATTTGATGTCTAGAATTTTCTTTTAAACAAAACTTCCAGACTTGGTAAGACATGAATGTAGTTCAGTGGTAGAGTGGGCTCAGCATGTTTGAGGATCTGGACTCAACCCCCAGCAGCAAAGTCAAGAAATAAATAAGACCATCATGAGCTTCTTATCTTCTTATCTCTACTTTTGTATGTTTGAGTTTTTCCAAAATAAAAGTTTTTAAAAAGAAGAAGAATTACTTATTTGGCCACTACACACCCACATAAGCACACACATCTTCAAACAAAATTGAAGATAGGCCTTTTTTATCTGGTGACTTAGCCCATGCCAAGTTCAAAGTAATGCTTTGCCTAAAACACAGAATTCACACCTTTCAGTAATGGTTACTGTAACAGTCACTCTCTAAAGACAAATCCWATCTAGGACTACAGGGCTGAGATAATAGGTAGTCCATAAGGTTGGACAAAGGCAGGTGAGTAATCATCATAATCAAATGTATGAGATTCATGAGTGGCTTGTCTTCAAACGAGAGGGTTCATGTCTGACATGAGCAGGCCTATATCATCAAGACCAATGCTGAGAGAACAGAAGTGTGATTACTAAAGATGAAGAGCAACAAACCATATGAGCACAGTCAGACCTGAAAATGAAGTAAAATGCATTTTGTATTATGCAAAGGCTGCTTTTGTTTTTAAGCCACTCTAGAGGACAGGATATCGTTATCATGTTCAGTCTGCAAGCTAATGATTCTTTAGCATATTTCTGCAAAACGATGGCTACTCTTCAATGCCACCAATATTCTATCAGCTTATTTCCCTCTATGGCTGCATTATACCCTCCATTTCAGTCCCACTGAGGACACCTTGTTTTTCTCCACATGAGGTCTTACACAAATGAAGTCCCACTATTCCAAAGAACTCAGGCAAATAAAAAGACATAATACCATCCAATAACCAACTGAGATTAAAAACCAAGACCTTCAAAGGAAATATATATGACAACTTTCAAATGCCAAATAGTGCAATAGCTACCAATGAGTTTCCCTTGATTGGTCTTTAAAGCATGGACATGTATTATGTTGAGCAACTCTAGAGCTTAAATAAAGTTGTTTTTTTAATTACAAGTGGCATACAAATCCACAGATCAAACTCCAATAAGACAAATTATAAATGATCATCTAAATTTTAGAGTTGTCACTTTGTTATATTGAATAATCATCCTATTAAGTGAGCTCCAGCCTTGATAGAAATAGTAATGTCTGGGGAATTATATTGGCCAAATTGTATTGTTATGTTATGTGCATATATGAATACCTAACAACAAATTTCACCATTATGTTCAACTGTAATGCACTAATTAAAACGTGAGGAAAAAGAAATAGTAATGCTAACTTACACACATATCTTCAAACAAAAATGAAGGTATTTCTTTTTTACTAGTACTATAAATAGGAAAACAAAAATGATCCGGCCAGGTGCAGTAGCCTATAATCCTAGTGGCTCCAGAGGCTGGAGCAGGAGGATTGCGAGTTCAAAGCCAGCCTCAGCAACTTAACCAGGTACTTAGCAACTCAGCAAAGACCCTGTCTCTAAATAAAATATTAAAAAAGAGCTGGGGATGTGGCTCAATGGTTCAGTATCCCTGTGTTCAATCCTCAGTAACAAAAAAAAGAAAAAAAAACTACTCAAATGTTTATAAACTAAAATACATTAGTCAATTCTATTATTTTATTTGGTTAGTTTAACATCTCAGGGATTCTATCAATGTAGAGAAATCTACTAGCAACATCAGATGAGGAAATTAAGGAAATAGAGTTGAATTCAAAATCTTGTTCCTGCGTCATGATTCTGAACAAAGGCATGTGGAATTAAAATGCAAAACTACATAGACCACCAGGAATTGCACTGTAGACTGGCATTGAGGAGATTAATAATAGGGCTACTAGTGAGAGGAAAAAGGAAAGGAATTGGGCTGGGGAGCACACTGACTGGGAAGGAGCTGAGAAAAAGGCTAAAGTTAATTTACATGTGTATATTGGATACGCTCTTCCTCTATTTTTTTTTGTCATCTTTCTTTACTCTTAACAACTAAATATTTCCGGGGTCCTGTGGATTTTGACTCTACAGTATAGATTTTTGGACAGTGTGTAGTCACTGACAAAACAGGAAGTTGAAACTCTAAGCATTCACCTTGACATACTTACTTCAAGGTTAATGTAAAGTAGTTTGCATAAAGTAAGATGTCCTTGCCAAAAATCTTTAGGGCTGCTTTGCTTATATATTACATTATCATTCTTCATAGCAACCACATATGCCTGGTCTACAGAACTTGGATTTCAGAGGGAGTCATTTTTGTGAGCTTCAGTAGTTTCAGAGAGAGAGGAACTTACGAGAGAATAGGTAGGAAAAAGAGCATAGAAGGAAAGCATTAAACCTGAAAGAATTCCAAGAACAAACTGCAAAATGGGTACAGAGAATGAATAGCCATGTTTGGCAGAAGCTGTGTAGAGTGGATAAACAGAAGAAAAACGTACAGGGCAGGTGAGAACCTGCAAGTGACAGTCACTAAAGCCCAGGCAAGGCATTTACACTACATCCCATAGGACCCTGGGGAGCTGCTGCAGGCTTGAGCATGAGTGAGACAAGAGCAAGAGTAGTTAAGACGTGACAAATGGTAAGAACTAGAGAAGAAAGGCACAGAAAACCAGAGGCCGGAGGCTTTACTAATCATTCCAGGTGAGGTCAGAGGGTGATAGTGGGAGGAAAAGGAAAAAATTTAACCTAAGGGGCAGTGTGAAACATACTTAAAGCTAGTTTTGTCCTCAATTAAAACCTAGAGAATGGCCACTTGCAGTCATTGCTAAAGAACTGCTTATGAGATGCTAAGGATTCTTAACATTGATTGGGAGGTAAACTGCCATTATTATGATCAAATACATAAGAGGGCATGAAATTCTAATGGCTCATAAAATCACTTTTAAAGGAAGCTTTCATTAAGCTTAACAGAGACTTAGAAAAAAATAGATGTTTGATTTAAGTAAAAATAATTTTTAAGAAGACCATGATTGGTTGCAAGGTGATGAGTATTTTTAAATTTCTAAAATAATTACTGCTGATTTTAGCAAGGCAGTAATAATGACTTAAATGATTGACAGATCTATTTTGTCTACTTTTGCAAATACATTTATAYATCTCTTTTTGCAGATCTATTTTTCTACTTTTGAAAATCACTATTGCCAACCTATTATTAATCAAAAGTTCACTATTTTGCAAATGCACCTATGAGTAAAACTGTGAAACACAGACAACACAATTTAAAGCAGCCACTTCTCAGTGTATGTGCCAACTTACTTTCTATTTTCATTTATGGGATACACTGTTGTTGAGCACCTACTATATGATAAGTATTTTGCTGATGTTAGATGTACAATGAAAAGTAAAATAGAAAAACAAACATAGCCTGAACATAAATGAGCTCACAAAATAATGGAAAAGATAGATATTGAATACTTTTTAAAAAATCATCCAAATATGTAATTCAAAACTGTGATAAGAAGCATGAAGGAAAATTATAGGGTGTTATGAAATCTTATAATAGAGAGTCTAAACCAAGTCTGAGTCTGAGAAGGTATTTTTAAGGAAACTGTCTTTGAACTGAAATCTGGATGTGGAAGAGTAAAATAGGGAAAGGAGTAGGTAAGAGAAAAGATGAGCATAGAGAAATAATTACATATAATAAAATGAAAATATTCTCTAACCTGTTGAGTAATAGTGTCCCATGGTCCCTGTAGCAGCCTCGTCTGATAGCACTCGTGGACTCCTTCCCATATGTCCTTCAGGGCTAACGGTCTCCCATCTGTGAAGGTGAATGGCAAGACTGTTAATGATTCATATAACACAGTGGTGCTTGGTGCTGATCTAAAAGTACTAGAAGTGTACCAAGACTTTTAAAAAATATATTTACTAGGTTATACCTTACTTACTTATCAAAAACATCCTGTATGAATTATTGTTTTCTTCCTGAGAAACATTTTAACATWCAAACTTTTCTCCTTTGTATCAGCCTAGCAGTTAAATTTTCTGCCCACTCTTGCCTCCAGGAATTTTATGAAATAAACAAAAGCCAAATGTGTTTTAGAGAGAAATGATAGATATGAAGYATAGGCAATGGACCAGGTATACAGGCTCCCATATTCACAAGGGCTCACTAAGAAATATGTCAAACCTTGATACTTCCTCTGTTCCTTAAAACAAAGACACAGTACTCATGTCTCTTTAAATTTCACTCTCCTGTTGATTATGTGCAATGTCCATGTCACTCAGCTGGATATCATGGAGATCAAGGAGAAGGAAAATATATAATTTCTCCTAGTAAGGAGCCTACCATCTACCAGGGAAACTATAACAAACTATGAATAATTTAAAATACTAGGGAGAGAGAGAGATAGCTGCCAGAGGAAAAATTCAGTTCTCTGAGAGTCCAGAGAGGGAGACATTAGCACCCAGTGGCTGCACTGGGTGGAGATAGGGACTGTCGAGGATGGAGTGACATGAGAAGGGTTTGGCATGAAGAGATTGGTAAAAAGCATCAGTGAACAATAATCCTCCTTTTAATTCTTCAGGCAGTTTTACTTAACCATCCATATTCAGTAACAACCCAAATAATATATTTTGTGAAGATCACTATGGCACTTATACTATATGAAAGATGAGTAAARAGGAGAAATATATACTGTTATGGTTTAGATATTTGGTGTTTCCCAAAAGCTCATGTGTGAGACAATGCAAGAAGGTCTAGAGGAGGTTGAGAGCCTTAATCCAATCAGCGAATTAATACCCTGATAGGGATTAACTGAGTGGAAACTGAAGACAGGTAGGGTGTGGCTGGTGACTGGGTCAACAGGAGAATGTCTTGGGTATGTATTTTGTATCTGGTGAGTGAGGTTTCTCTCTCTGCTGCCTGATCACCATGTGAGCTGCTTCCCTCAGCCATACTCTTCTGCCATGATGTTCAGCCTCACCTTGAGCCCCAAGGAATGGAACAGCTGCCTATGGATGGAGACCTCTGAAACCATGAACCCCCAAATAAACTTTTCCTCCTCTAAAATTATTCTTGTCAGGTCTCTTAGTCACAGCAGTGAAAACGCTGACTAAAATACATACTTAAGTTCAAAAAAGCAGAAAGAGGGAGTTATGTAGAGACTTTCAAAACACATACTCCTGGAAAGAAGGAATCTAAATGCTAGAACTTAGTACTACTTGGCCCATTCAGAGCTATCGAGTCCTCAAGGCTTGTGGAAGTGTGCATTATTACTTAAAGAGAATACCTTATATACTGAATTATTAGAAGTGCTTGGTCATCAAGTGCAACAAAACTCAGTGAAATAATCTACCCTAAATCTTCAAAAAACTAAAAAGCATCATGGTATTCAGACTTACAAAGTATAAGTAAAAAGGAAGGGTGTTGGAGAAATTTGCTACATTTGGAGTTCAGGCTGTTTAAACACTCATGTTTGTAATTACTCTCTGTGAGACTGTAAGTTATTTTGTTTTTAACTTTACCTGTAAAATGAAGATAATAATTCTTTTCAAATTTTGTTCTCATGAGGCTTACATTAGTGAATATACCCAGGACTATGTTGGATGTACAATGAGAATTCAAAAATATTAGGTAACTCCTTCTAGCCCCAACTCCACTGTGCCAGCAATTCTCAAAGGGAAAAGATTAATTTCTGGACTGTTATTTCTTAGAATGTTCCGAAGTTTCTACATCATGCACATTGTCTTTGATATAGTAATATACTAATAGCATAAGTAGGGCATTTCTCATGTTTGACCTGAAAAGTTGAACTTTTCCTCAACCTTTATTTTCAATAAATAGCAATAGAATATTTTGATACATTTTCAATAAGTATCTTCATCTTGGCATTTATCTGGCGGCAGGAGACCATTATCTTGTGATAAATAGTTTTATTCCATTGACATTTCCATGTCTGTAAAATGAACGAGATTTATTCATCCAATTAACATTTGAATGTCATGTTTAGCTACAAGTAAAAAACAAGCTGCCTTCAGTATCTGTGTTATATTGTTTTCTGAACACATTTACAGAGTAGGGCCAAACTCTGCTCTTAAGCAGTACACATCTTCAAAATATGCACACGTGTGCAAGCTTTTGTGTGTGTGTGTGTGTGTGTGTGTGTGTGTGTGTGATGTGTGTTGATGTTGAAAATACAATCTGAGATACTTCAAACAGCAAACTAAATAATCAAATTACAAAAAGATGACATGATTTTAAAATAATTTTTACAATGTCAAAGAGGAACTCAAGTAGTGGGATAATAAAAGGTCAGGGCTGGTATAATTACTAATTTTATAAACAAGGCAACCAAGGTCTTGGGAAACACATATCTGTAGAATTAAGCAGTCAGTTCATGACTGAGCCAAAGTCAGCATCCAGGTTTCAGGACTCACAACCTAGTGCTCTTCCTGCTATTCCATGCTGCCTCCAAGAGCAGAGATACTGCATATGCTTTATAAATACTGAAAAGTAACAAATAAAAGAATGCCCTTCTTAATGTTTTTCCTCTAAGAAAAAGCCGTGTAGACCTAGAGAAGAATATTTGGTTTAATATCTGGTAATCAGTAATGATTTTAATTTTATTCCTTAAAATATTTCAGCCAATATTTGAAGTACATGGTTTGGATGTTACCACTGTCAAAACCCTGAATATTCTGCTKGAAACATTCATACAAAATGCAGTAATAAGTGCAGAAATCCAGAACAAATGTCATGGAATTTTTACCAGATTTGATACTAGAATTGAGAGTATATACCGTAAATTTCCAGACAACACCAAATCTAGAGGGGAAGAAAATGAATTCCTTAGAATACAGGAATTAACCACTCTAGTCAACCTAGAGTAACAGTCACAAAAATTAAAAAAATTCAAAACATAAAAACTGAATGTTTTACTTACATCACAAAAAATACATATTATTAAAATGATTTAGAATTTCTATGGTTTTAACTTTTCTGGTTTTTTAAAAGCCAATACCACATTAATAGTTATTTAGGCTCTTTCTATATCATTTGATAAAAACAGAATGACTAATATAAATGTATTTCTCCTGTCCTTGATTTTAACTTAATTTAAAAAGTTATAGTATGGAGGCTGGGGGTAGCCCTGAGTGGTACAGTATGTGTGTAGCATGCACAAGACCCTGAAATTAATCCCCATCATTCCCAAAAATTGTATTAAAAATGTTCTTAATAATGAAAAAAATCACCACAACCCTCCCTCCCCTGCCACATATACACACACTGACACCTGATAATGCCTTTTCTCTGTTTTGCACACAATGCTACTAAATCAGAAAACCGGGAGTTACTCTACATTCCTCTTTCTCAACCTCATGTCTCATAATGAAAAATAGGGTCTATTACTACTTATAAATTTCTCTGGATCTGTGCTCTCCATTCCATTCCCACTGCACCAGAGTTCTAGTTCAAGACTCCAACAATCGCCTTTGTCATCTCCTACAGTCTCCAGGGCTTGGTTCCTGCCCTTGTTGGTTTCAAACATAAATATTATAAATATCCTGCTCTGGTAAACACCATTCCTTAGTTTTACTTCTCTCATAGTATAAACTCCAAGCAACACCATGGCCCCTGTTGCTGTCTCTGCCGTTCTTCACTATGAATCAGTCCTTAGGCAAGGTGGAGATTCCATCCCACCTCTCACTCACACAAACCAGTCAATCCTTCACCCTGTTGCTTTTCTCACTGCAAGTATCACTYTCTGAAATCATCTTACTTATTTATACCTTCATCTTTTCCTGCCTTTCCCAAGTAGCATGCAAGTTCTATGAAGGCAGATCTTGATTATTCTAGTTCCTGCATATATCCACCACCTGAATCAGGGTCTGGCACAGAGTAAGTGGTCAATAAAGAYTGACTAAATTGATTAAATCAGTGGTATTGGTGCAGGTTTATATACATCTTCATATTCAGTATTGTGACATAAACATTTCCCACACTGGATAAAAGGAATAATTATGATTTTACAGGTTATGTGATATTGTACTATGATGATACACTGCAATTTACTTAAGTATTCCTCTGCTGTTGGTTACTTGAGTTATTACCAGTTTTGAAATGGTACCTGGCACAAAGGAGTCATGAACTAAGCCAAAGCAATTTTTCATCTTTTCAATTATTTTCTTTTGATAAATTCAGGAGAAGGGAATTACTAAGTCAAAATGAAAAATAACTTTTAATTCAAGACAGAAGAACTAGTATCTTGCCACATCAAGATTCTCCCTCATGTAATGAGATAAGGAGTTAATTTTAGAAACAGATATTTATATAATTTGGCACCTAATATATGCCAAGCATTTATTCTAAGCCTCTGTGATACATCAGGAAGCAAAACAATGTTTTTTTGTGAATTCTTGTAGGGGGCGGAGGGGGTTAATGGTGTGATGATAAACAATGAATATAAGTGAGTGAATTGCGATGATAAACAATGAATATAAGTGAGTGAATTGCAAAGCATGTTAAAAAGTGTGGTGTGGACTATTGTAAAAAAGAAAAAGGAGAGTAGACCAAGGAGTACTGGCCAGGGGTGGGTTTGTGATTTTAGATCAGCTGTGAGCAAACACTGGGAGGCATTAGCTCTGAAGATTCCTGAATAAAAGAGGGAAGAGGAAAGAGAGGAGAGTGAACCAGTAGCAAGGCTACCACAGGATAGACTCAGGGAATCCCTTTCAGGGCATTAAAGACATCATTTTTTTTTTTTTTAAGAAAAGGCTATATGTAATTCACATATGTATAATTCACCAATTTAGAGTGCA